AAAGAAATCACACAGCGGGTTTAAGGAGGCTCGTACCAGTTTTCTCGCGCGGGGAACAGGTCACTCTTGCGTGACGCGCGCGAGAGAAACGTGCGAAAGAAGCGCGAGATCAAAAGATGAAAATTCAAAACAAAGATGGCGGCGCGTGGAATTTTTTTCTACTTTTGTGAGAAGTTTACCTAAGAGCTTGTATTTGATGTGTTGAGCGGCCACTGTGAATGCAGGAGATAGAAACTAAGATAACGAAGACGATTTTCGGAGAAGTAAAGGTTGCTTCACTTCACATTTAAAAGAAATATTCAACCGATATGAAATCTTGCGACGGCGAAAAAAGAAGAACTCAAGTGAAGGATAATCTACCTGAAGTGGAAGAAGACTTTGAAACTTCAAGGAAAATAATATGATATAGCCAGAAGTCATGTGTAGGATTTTTAAGATGAGCTCGGGAGGCTGTCTTTGACGGCTGTTTAATGATTTTCTTAGCAGTAAACGTCTGTAAACATCAGATCGTAGGTGCTCGCGCGAGCACACGCAATTGTCAGCGGTAGCTAAAACAGATCATGAGCAAATGTCGATCTTATAGAATCCAGATTTTTAAATGCGCGAGAACGCGCGTGGAAATTGCTAAACTCACGAAAGCTATTGCATGAAAACAAGTCCGGTGACCCCTTCTTTTTATTGTTCCAATATGATAATAACGTCGAAAGGAATCATCAGAAAAAAAACTAGAAAATTCTACGGAAGGAAATTTGCGATGTGTGAAAATTGCCCTTTTTGTAGATTTTCTGAAATTCCGCTCCGTAGAATTTTTTAAAAATCTTTGTGCATTTTCCTTTTCAAGTGCCAAAAGCAATCACTGAAAAAAATCAGGGGGTCACCGGGTTAGTTTTCGAATTATTTAAGCCACAAGCTAAAAAATGCGTCTGAATAAGCCTATGAAAGCGTTGCCATGGAAACTGCTAGTGACGAAATGACACTTATTTTTGGATAACCAATGATTATGTAATTCAACCCCGTAAAAGTGTTCAACTGGCCTTGGTCAGTCTTTCCGTTGTATTCTTTCAAAGTTACAAACCATCAAAAAGATAAAAACCGGTATGAGCCACCTTAAACAAACCAAACCAAACCAATGGATTCGCGGATTACTTTCCACTCTCAGTTGAAAATTTTTCTATTTCTTGAAATTGCAAACGTGAAATGAAAAATGTTTCAATCGTTCCTATCATGCAAAGTTAGCAAAAAAGGAAAAGGGCGTTTTGTGAACTGTGCGAGGAAAAAAGCTGAAAAGTGAACTGAATACAACTGATTAGATGTCGCAGGATTCGTTACTCTCTGATCTTTGCATTTCTCTATCTTTTATTAATAAAGTTAACGTTCCGGCATCTTTACCTATAGGGCTTGCATTTAATTGAAGATAGCGAAGCGTCAAGTTCTTCTGAGTTTTCGTATAAATCCAAGGAAAGATAATCACTGGGATCTGGAAAAGTGCGAGACAGATGAATTCGTTAGGCATTATGGTCATTATTTATCATCTCAGGAAAGGGAAAGGTTGAAGGGGAGGTTTTTTGGTTGTGCCCCCCCCTACAAAAAAAATAACAAAAATCCTTCCCCCGCCCCCAGCAAGTAATAAATACACTAATGACTGGTCCCTTAAGAAAATTTAAATGCATTTCCAGTTATTTCATTCCATTATTGATTTCTACAACACAAGAACTCTTATAAATAAAACAGCATTTTTAAGTTTTCAAAACATGTTTCGTCAGGCCGCGTTTCATGGTTGGTGTGGGACCTGCCCCGCGCCTCCCCCCCTTCCCGCCTGAAAAGGTGTCAGAGTTTAAGGAACCGGGCGGAACCCCCCACCATGAAATCCGAGGTTCCCCTGATCTCGTACCCAGATCCTACCGTTTCACCACGACTAGCACAAATGCACAATCACTTGGCCGTGGAAGGTCTGGGTACGAAGCTTGTCTCCTCTCTCTCTCTCTCTCTCTCTCCAACCCCTCACTGTTGGGTTTGTAAAGTTACCTGAACGTTGGTCTCCAAGGATCCGATTTAGAAGAGGAGATAAATCAGTTCTCAGGAGTGCAATAGTGATCGTAACGGCAGTTACGATGAATAAAAGAGTCTGTTGAATATACAAATGAAAAAGAGAGAATTTCTAAAAGTTATTTTGGAGATATTTTTGTTGTGGCACAATCAACATATAGCAATAAAAGTAGCGTGATTACCTTAAGAATCTAACTGCTTTAGAAAGTAGTAAAACGTTCTTTATACATTTAAAAATATGTGAGTCAGAGGGATCTGGACTCGAACGAAAATAGTGTTGGGTTGACGGATTGGGCAGAGTCAAGTCATACTCCTTTTAATGGCATAACTAGGATCTAACTTCGATCAATACACCTGCTGTTTTCGAAACTGCTTGGTTCTTTCATTACTTCCATGCACTTGACCCGTAACTTAACAACGGTTGTCATGACTCAGGCAAAAGAATTGACCTCTTTTTGTACTGTAACATCAAAGTAATTTTTAAGAAGTTTAGTCATAATTCTTGCACTACGCTTAATGCTATGACTATAGCATTATCATGCCATGATTACGCCGGCATAATTTATCTGACCCTGCTGTTATTAGGCCTTTACACATTCTGCCGGCAGAATTTCGAGCATAATAGGGCCTCAGGAGCAGAATATATGATTGGGGCATAATCCGAGCAGAATAATCCATTTTTGGCCATTTTGCATATTCTGGGGCCTGGGAACGAGTCTGAGAGGGAGCTGGGCACGAACATCCGAGCAAAACAAGATGGCGGAACCAAACCCGCAACCGGTAGAGACATCCCTAATGTTGCAGTATAATGGCCGATGATGTATTGATTTACTAACCTAATCTAGTGTTCAAGTTAGTAATGTTAGCAGCTGTGACAGTGGATGGACAAAGACATTTCTGATATGGTTCATGATTGTCACAGAGTCTTTTTACAAGTTATTACCCATGTTAGTTTTAAGGATTAAATAATAAATGCGCATATGTTGGGTTAGCCTCACGCTGGAAGGGCGATATAATGTCTTATTTATCATGTTTGAGTATTTTGAACCCAGGAATATCGATTTTTACAGAAGTATAGTTCGAGCATAATAGTACTTTTGGAGCATAATCTCGAGCAGAATAGCCTTTTTTGGAGGCAATTCTTTTGAGCAGAATAGCCTTTTTTTCGAGCAGAATATGTAAAGGCCTAGCTGTTATGAACAGTTCTAGTTTCGTTGCGTGACTTTGAACAGTGCGTGATTATTGAACTTTGAACAATGCGTTTGTTGCCTTCTGCACCACCTGCCTCTCGCAGTAGTTCGCCTTGTATGCAAATTTTTTCAAGTCTCCTCCATTGAAAGTTTGATTCGCCGTCAGGTTTAATATCTGTCAACCAAATATGATTCTTCCTTAAATTTCAACATTTTAAACCCAGTTGTGTGGTTAGGAAACTAGGAAATGTTAATTAACAGGTATAACAATACAAAAAGGGATTTTTGTGTTGGTTTCTGACCGATGCGGTTGACAAAGCTTCCTGCGATGTTTAGGAGTTCCGCCCGAGGTAACTTAAAACCTCATAAGTCCAACTCTTATATTCGGGTGAGAAACTCGACACTTTCATTTAAACTTATTACATTTATTATCATTATTTTTTTAGTTATTAAGTAGCTGCAACTCTATTTAGTGATTCCTTCTAAAAGCATGTGTTTTTTATTGCGTGAGGGCAAACCGAAATTTTCCTGAAAGACATAAACGGCCGAACCAAATCCCAGCTTAGCAATCTTGATGAAGGGTTGTTCAGAAAAGAGCAACCTTGTGATTTTCAAGCCGACGGAACTGGCTTGATAAACGTAGGAATAAAACCATATTCCGTCGGATACCACTATTAAAGTATAACCCTACTGTACGATCTTGTGGAAACATGCGCCCGCAGGGAATAGAAACCTCTATTAATATGCTAGTTTTTTCGCGTCTGCTTGCGGCTCTGACCAACAAAGTTTAAATTACGTATGATGCACGATCCTCGCAGTAGATAGCGCTATTTAAGCAATAGGGAAAATCAGACCTGAAAAAAATCAGGCCTGTACGGGATTGGAACCACTGACCTATGCGATACTAGTGCAGCGATCTACCAATTGAGCTAACAAGCCAACTGGGAGCAGGCCGTTTGCATAAACAGCGCTATCTACTGCGAAGGATCGTGCATCGTACGTATTTAATACTGCAGTTCAAAATATATGAACTTCATATATTCATTGTATCTGATTTATCATCACGGGTTTATTACGAATCAACTTAACGGCGTCGAGGATTCCTCGACGCCGTTACATTCGCTAACAAATGTGCGGGATATAAAATAACGAAGAGAGCTATCCATTACTTACAAAGCCTTTCTTGTACAGTGGAAGCATTTCGATCACAGGTGACAGCAATCTTTCCCTATGTTATCATCGCTATTCCGTTTAGTGAAAGCTCGGTCATTTCCAAAAGATCGAATTAAAAGACAGCGTCGTGGTGAAAGCCAAGTTTGTGTTTACGACCATCGACACCCCCCCAGTGAATGATTATTTGCATAAAATTTTCTTCAGTCTGATTGGCTATTATTGTTTAGTGGGGCTTAGTCTTTTTTACATACAAACTCACATGAAAATTTGGAGGTTTTGTAAAATTAGTCTTCCAAGTGATTTGCGCTTTACTTATGCAAACGACCGTCTTGATATGACGCGAACTAAATTTTTTTATTAGTTTTTCAAGGGGTCCCACCATCAGGCCAAATGCTGTGCATACAGTGCGTTTTTACACACTCTCCAGATGACATCAGTTTTCTGTTGTTCCTGTCAATTTCCGCCAAAAAAACTATCGATTTGGATTAAACAACCGCAAACTCCTTTGTCAACTGAGTGACAGCAAGACCGACGAAGAAATATTGACCTTTCTTTAATTATACTGCTCTGTCTGTCCAATGGATTTAAAAGAAGTTCACAAAAACATTTTTTCCAAGACTTCGTTGTGGTTCTGCCTTATAAAAAACCGCACATTGGAGAGGATCAGGAAACCTTGAAAATGTGCGCAAACATCTTTCATTTTATAAATTTGAATTTTCTGGTCCCAAATGAAATGACATTTTCCGTCGGCTCGTCTAGCGGCTGAAGAGACAGCTGTGTAACTTAGATGCTTATGAATAACAAAGTGATCTTCGCAGCAATAGACTAGGAGAAGTCTCTCCTTTTCGGCGAAGTCCGTCGCGCGAATAAAAAAAAAATCAATGAAAAAAATTGATGTTAGCGCGGTGCGGGGAGCTTTTGGGGATTGACGTTGATGCGCTGCGGAAGTACAATGAGTGAGGCGCTCGAAAAGTAGGGACTACGGACTAGTAAGCCCAAGGGTTTGAATTCTGCGTTACGCTTACAACGTAAAAGTAATTGTCTCAATTATGGCTCTTGCACGGTGGCCCAGAAGGCTCAACGCAAACAAAAAATACACTGCAGCAAATAAAAAATATACTGCAGCAAAAAAAACTATACTGCAGCAAATAAAAAATATACTGCAGCAAATAAAAAATATACTGCAGCAGATAAAAAATATACTGCAGCAAATAAAAAATCAAAACGCAAGGAAAAAAAGTACCGCAGCAAATTAAAAAATGCAACACACACACACAAAAATACTGCAGCAAATAAAATATGCAACGTAAACCAAAAAAAAAGAGAAAATGCAAAAAAAAAAAAATTGGAACGCAACGCCAAGGAAGACTGGGTAATAGTTGTTAGTTTCCTGTCAACACTCGTTCCATCCTTTGCTTGTTCGCCTTTCCGAAACCATGTTTTGCAGCGAACGTATGACAGTACCATGCTGTTCCTTTACAAAAACGATAATAACTCCATTTTCATACCCTTGATGAAAGTAATCTTCTATAATCCTACGCAGATGGCTTTCGTCCATGACAAAAAGCGAGTTCCAGTTCATGCTGTTTTGGCGGGAAACTAAGAACTATTACCCCGTCTTCCTTGGCGTTGCGTTCCAATTTTTTTTGTTTGCGTTGCATTTTTTATTTGCTGCAGTATTCTTTTGTTTGCGTTGCAGTTTTTTATTTGCTGCAGTACTTATTTTCTTTGCGTTTTGATTTTTTTTATTTGCTGAAGTATATTTTTTATTTGCTGCAGTATATTTTTTGTTTGCGTTGAGCCTTCTGGGCCACCGTACTCTTGTTCAAATGTAAAAAAAAAAAAAATCAATCCAGACTCAAATGGAGAGGTTTACAGTCATCAAGATACTTATAACTCTCTCGCCGACTCGCATTACTTAAGGTTTCATATTTTCCCGCGAGTAAAACAACGCTTATGCCGAAGCGCTATGTTTCTCGTACCAACTTCCTACCGTGTATCTGTAACTGAGAACCGCTTGGTCTTGGAGGGTCTGGGTACGAGTCTAATTGGCACTCTACTTCGTGATCAAATCCAGTCAAACAGTACTTACCTCACGAGGCGGAAGTAAGTAAGTAAGTAAGTAAGTAAGTAGACGTTGTATAATCTAGTTAGAGGGCCACAGGTTTGTCAGCTATACAGCTGTTACGTGTCCCCCTTTATAAATAAAGTCCTTACTTACTTACTTACGTTATTGGAGAGGGTGACATTTGACAACTGATAACCTAATGGCCCTCGAAGTAAATACAAGAGAAAATTAATCAAAAGCTGACCTTCAATCTAGCAAACATAATTTATATAAAAAGGATATAAAAACTACTAGATATTTATAAAAGACTGTGTAATAAATTGATTTTTAAAAATTGATTTATAGAGTGATCCTTTAAAATGTTTTGCGCTAGGACTACGTTTAAGATTAATTACATTTAAGTCAATGTTAGGTAAAGAAATATTCCATGCGGTCGGCCGATGGCCTCAGAAAAGCAATGATGAATTAAGAAGGTGAAGAAAAGTTCTCATTATCGAAGAATATCCACAGTATTTTCTTTTGAGCTAAACAAAAACTTCGCGAAGCAAGATTGTTTGTGTAAGAGAAGGAAGCATCCTACTAGGAGATCGATTTAGTTGCCTTTTTAACAAACAAGAGTCGTGAAAAAGGAGAATTGAAACCTTTTCTGTACCAGTCGCTCACTCTCTGACTCTTGCAGTGAGCCCTGGAAACGAGGAAGTATAATTCTTAGAAGTAACAGAAAGTGATATTCTTCCTGTTTTTACCGAGCAGCACTGGGAACAAGGATGTAGTCCTTCTATGCCTTTTCCTTCACTGTAACTTTGGTTGTTTTTCCTTAAGATCGAGTTCCTGCTAAACATTGCTGCACGAATGACATAGGTGGCAAAGTCAAATTTCAAGAATTTCCAGGAAGCCGGTTCATACAAAACCAATAAAATGGTTTATTTACTACCTCTTACCTCTTGCGCTCTCTGAAATCCCGTTAAAAAGTACGTACATCGTTCAGAGAAAAAACCGTGACTGCTCTTAATTAAGAAACCTAGGCGAACGCAAAAAAGTGTATTTTTGTAAGATACTGTGAATAATGGAAAAACACTTTCGTAACGATATCATCGTGAAATACCTTCAATTTGTATTTGTTAACTTAGAAACGTGACGGCAGACTTTGAGGATGTTATGACTTCTAAGAATTCTAAACCGGATGTTTTCTGTTTTGCTCAGGTTTCAGGAGGAGAACGTGATTATTAAATTGATGCGAGAAACAGTTAACAATCACTACTTACCTATTATCTTTTTTTATCTGAAAGTTCCCTCGTGAGAGGGTGGGGGGGAGGGCTGTTTTGAATTCATTGCATCTTCCCGAGTATTGCAATTCCCTCCAGGGGATAGTAGTCTCCATCACAGCTTTTTGGTCTTGTCGTCCAACGCGTCCTCTCCCCAAAAACGGTAACGTGGGAGACTACTGGGGATGGTGTGACATGGAATAGTGACTTTGGATTTTGATCAGAGCAGGACTCTGAATTCTCTCGTGGTATCGTTTGACCAGCTTCCTACCCCACCCATGCTGCTTCAGTGAACTTTGTCTCCCCCTCCCCAAGAAATTAGAAAGGGCATGATTCAAGTTTTAAGATTTAACCTGACAAATATTTTTCTTTCTTAGGAAGCTTGCTGTTTTTGTTGTTCATTTAACGAGGTTTTTAATGTTTAAGGTCACGTCTAATGGCTTGATAAATATCGAGGATGTAGCGTTGTTGTAGATCGTTAGGACCGTATGTGGAGAAAAAATAGTTTCTTTGTTCATTGAAGAGTTATTTTCCTTAGTTTTTCCTTATCCAATTCATAATATTATGCTTTTCACGGCGTTTTTCTTTAGATACACAGACAATATTTATTCATTTCTTACAGACATAATGCTACGTTCGAATGTAAATATTTTTCTGAAGACGTCACCATATGAAACTTGACAGATTTAGTGCCCCGTCAATGTCTTAGCGTGTTATTTGATCCCGGCGCCGCGCAAATTGAACCCTGCATGAATGCGTGGAAGTATTTGACGCATTGAGGTATTGATGTATTGTCACAAGAGTCCTTACAAAGTTCTGCCTAAATCTCTACTTTGCCTCTATTTTTCATAAACATTTCGACGTAGGAAAATCGTGAGTACAGTAAGTATCATTCTATGTTCAACTTTGATGTTTTGGTGCCGGAGGTAGATTGAAAATTCGAGCCCTTCCAGCGAGTTGACGAGTCTGCCTCAAATGCATCTGTTCTTGAATCTAGCAAACTGCGAGCGAATTGAGAAAGCAAGAGTTGAGTTATTTTCATACCGTGAACATATTTGTACACTTGCCAGGTTTGCTTCTTCGAAGTTAAGCTCTTTGAGAACATAAAGATATCTATGTATTTGATGCTGTGCCTTTAGATAAGTGCCAGGTTTACATTTAACGAGAAGCTCTGAGAGCAGTAAGCGTTTAGATATACTTCGCATTTCGCCTTTCAAGTCGACTTTACCCAAAGATCGTAACAAGGAAACACTGTTAAGTCCTTTTTAATGTAAATACAGGTTTAAGAAGGTAGTTTGATCAGAAAAGACAGCACAATTTCCTTCTTGAGTCAACCGGGAACTGACAATTTTTGCTAAAAGCATGTACTTTACATATGACACCATACAGGTGACAGCCTCAATAATCAACAATACGCCTTTTTTGTGCTAGATGTTCATCTTAATGCATAAGTGAGAAATTTTTTCTCTCCTCAGTTTGTTTCAAATCTCGAAAATAGTTTATCTCACAGAGAAAAATATGGTTTGGAAATATTTAATAGTACACGTAGACCGGCTATTTGGTGAAGATTAACTTATCGTCCTGCATTCTTACAATTTGTCGCATTTTACATGTTGTTATTCAGAGATATCTTATTTCAAATCTCTTTTCGTCCGACAATCACGCAATGTTAGAAAGCTAATGCGTGCTTCTACCATGTAGATTTCAACCTTCTATCTTACGGTGACATAATTTTGAGTCAATTTTAAGAGTTCACTTCCGTTGCAAAATCTTCGTATAGTAGAACTTTATATACATTTTTGAAATGGCAGCTTTTTCGCCTTCGGGGGAAATTTTTGGGGGTTTGCTCAGACATGTTTCTTCGCGTGGTAGTATTTTTAGTTCCTCAAATTTAAGAGGAAAAAGTCTTGAATGCCAGCAGTTCTTCAGATCTTCGTCCTTGGGTAGGGGGCTCCCGTCATCTTTATAGACACATGACAAAGGTTAATAACTAATGCCGGTTAATAACTATGCAGTCTGTAAACACCATAACGGTATATTAGAATAATGTTTACGGCTTGTTTTGCACCACGCCATCAAGATAATATTTACATCAGCTTTCAAAGAGGTTTTCTCCACTAAAGGCCAGCGGTACGACCATGAAAAGTAGCAAGCTAGGATTTTCTTGTGCGGCAGCGATAAGCAATTTGGTTACAATGATAGCGAGATGAGATGGACCATAAGACGATAGCTAGCAACTCTCCTCGTCCTTTCCTTGAATAAACCTTGATAGGTAAGTCTGGAAATGTTTATGACCCGTGGTTTTTTTAACTTTATTTTTTTTAGGCGAAATAGGAAATTGTAGAAGAGCTAATTTTCTATTTTCTCAACATTTCACCCGGCTATTTACGAGTCTTAGAAAATTTTTTTAAATAACAAATGAAATACGTGGATGAGAAAATAGTGGAAGTCCGTCGGCCTTTTCGAATTATTCACTTGGAATTCTTTTGAATTTTTCGTGTGATGTATTCTCTTTTTCGAATCAATTTGGCATGTTTATCGGTAAACTGAACCGAATAAATTAAGTTTTATGGACTTGCTGGTTCTTGTCCTTAAATCACCTGGCATTGATTTTAAAAAGGCGTTGTTGATCGACCGCCAAGTGAATTGAAAGACGTCCAGATGTGCTGTATAGAACTGCTAACCCTAAGCAATTTTGAAACCTTTTCTATAGCTCATAGCACGTACAAACGCTATCTGTGTTTGTGACGATCAGAGTTAGAAAATACAGTTTACATTATTTGGCGGAAATAGATTGCCCTTTATACTGAGTTTTTGTTGCAAAAGAACTCTTAAATTCAAGTTATACACTTCCTTTCTGAGGTAGGTGGAATGACAGATAATCTTCGGGCCAATGTTTTCCGGAAACTAAGCTAGGCTTCTGTTGTAAAACAGCCGGAGAAGCGAAGTGTGCTATTTCTAAAACTAAGGATAAAAACTTCTATCGAGTGCTTTTTATTTCCTGCTCTTATTGTTTGTGTGGTCATGACTGCGACTGAGCACTTAATAGAGTAATAGTTTCATCCATATCCAATTATTTAATTTACCGCAGATGCCATTTACTTTTACTGTGGTGATCTATCAAGGCATAAAGAACAATATAGTATTGTACTGTTATTAAAGGGAATTATTTCAAAGCGATTTCAGGTAGTTTTCCGGTTTGCTGTAAATCTTATTTTGGAAGAAGAGTAATTTTTGCACGCGACGTGACTCAATTTTTTCCACGGCACTTTTCCTTCCTTCCATTTGATTTTAACAATCAAGTTTTTCCCTCTCAGAAATAATTTTTTGGTCTAAGGTTTTCCATTCATTCGAGTTCATTTGAATACCATTACAAGTGTTTGTCATTAAACGAAAGACGGAGAGGATTTAAGCCTCGTAATCGTTGTTAGCTGACTGGGATCTCGTCAAATAAGTTCAATTGCCAGACGAAAAGTAAATAATAAACGTGTGTGACCTCTTCAGTATTCACTTATCAAACCTTATATTCCAGAGGAAGTAATCCCCGGCTAATCGTTTCGAAAACGAGAAACAGCCTTGTCAGTTCTGTGGGAAAGTCTTAGAGAAGTGGTAAATGAATTGAACCTGACGCTTAATTTGCAATGAAAGAAATTGCTGAAAGTACAGCCTGAAATTCAAAGAAATTCAAAGGTCTCGAATGAGAAGGAAACTGACTTTCCCGATAGCCCTGTCGGGTGACGTGACCAACTGAGCTGCGAAGTCTTACTTTGGGAACTAGGCAGGTTGTTAGAGTGAGTTCTTTGTTCCCCATCGTGGAAGGAAATCCCTAAAGTAGCGAATAAACGCCTCGATCTTTCCAAGCAGGTCACTGGTCATCATGGTCGTCTCCACCACAGAACCTCCTCCTACTGAGTCTGCTGCTGTTCAGGAAGGCCTTCGCGTCTTCAAACTTGTCATGTACATTACGATCTTCATAGTTAGCGTCCTGGCGAACACCTTTATGCTCTTAACGCTGTGGAGAAAGTTTCGCCGTCACAGAAAAACTGCCAAGAGTTTTATTATACTGATGCAGAACCTTGGCATGTCTGGCCTCGTTCTGGTGGTGGCCTCGATTCCATTTGATGCAGTGTCGCAAGACTCCGACAAGTGGCCTTTTGGAGCCGGGGGCTGTAAGATTCTTTATCCGTTACAGACGGTTGCGTTACAGGCTATGGTGTTCACGTATGTGGCTCTGGCTTATCATCGATGGTATGGCGTGTCAAGGTGAGTGCGTGACTCTCTAGTGGTGGTATTGAGAACGAAGATACCCATAATCTTCTAGATCAGATACAATGAAATATATGAAGTTCATATATTTCATTGTATCTGATTTATCACTTTCACGGGTTTATTACGAATCAACTTAACGGCCTGCTCCCAGTTGGCTTGTTAGCTCAATTGGTAGAGCGCTGCACTAGTATCGCAGAGGTCAGTGGTTCGAATCCCGTACAGGCCTGATTTTTTTCAGGTCTGATTTTCGCTATTGCTTAAATAGCGCTATCTACTGCGAGGATCGTGCATCATACGTATCTAATACCGCAGTTCAAAATATATGAACTTCATATATTTCATTGTATCTGATTTATCACTTTCACGGGTTTATTACGAATCAACTTAACGGCCTGCTCCCAGTTGGCTTGTTAGCTCAATTGGTAGAGCGCTGCACTAGTATCGCAGAGGTCAGTGGTTCGAATCCCGTACAGGCCTGATTTTTTTCAGGTCTGATTTTCGCTATTGCTTAAATAGCGCTATCTACTGCGAGGATCGTGCATCATACGTATCTAATACCGCAGTTCAAAATATATGAACTTCATATATTTCATTGTATCTGATTTATCACTTTCACGGGTTTATTACGAATCAACTTAACGGCCTGCTCCCAGTTGGCTTGTTAGCTCAATTGGTAGAGCGCTGCACTAGTATCGCAGAGGTCAGTGGTTCGAATCCCGTACAGGCCTGATTTTTTTCAGGTCTGATTTTCGCTATTGCTTAAATAGCGCTATCTACTGCGAGGATCGTGCATCATACGTAATCTTCTAGAAGTTGCTTGGTTAAATTTAGGACGTCAAATAAATACTGTTTAAATTTACTCCCACCCCACCCCAAGGCTTTGTATCATTCTAGAGCTCCCCCCCTCGTTGCTTGTCAATATATTTTATTCCGTCCTTTATTCTCTTGTTAGTGACGACTGATCTACCTCCGTCCTCCTCCCTCCTAGAAAAGCTACGTGATCTCCCCAAATCTTCCCACCCCCACCCCTCAGGCGATAAATAAGGACTGAGAGTCACTTTTTTTTCCCTTCTTGAACCCAGTTGTCTCAGCTGAAAAACAATTAGCGCGGCCTTGGGGGAGGGTGGGACCTCGGTTCCAGCAATGATCCCTCCACAGCTGCATAGCATTTTGACTTTGCTCTTTTTTTCTTTGTTACAGAAACCTGTTTGGTCAAATGAAGTTCATCCTTGCAGTCGTACTCACATTCGTGATTTGGATCACCAGCATCATCACAGTCGTCCCTTATGTCCTGATCTTGGATTACAACTACATTAACAAAACATGTGACGAGTATTGGAGCTCGGATGGAAGCCGCCAAGCTTACACCATCTCTCTGTTTCTATTGGATTACGCCCTTCCACTTATCGCTTTGTTCGTCATCTACGTGATGGTCTGGGGACGTCTTCAAAGGTGATAAACAGTTGCTTTACTTCCGAAATCCTTATGATATCACATTTTATCTTTTAGACCACAGAATGAGTTATTTGTTGATACGAATCTGGGAGAAAGGTCTTCAAGATCTGGACCATTATTCTTCATTCTGGAGAAAATAACTTATTGCCCCATTGCTTCTCAATCTTTTTGTAAGGAATAGCCAAATTTACAACTATGGTACCAGACCAGCCAGTAATTGTCGAACGCATTTGTGCCGTACAAATGTCAAGCAATTTACAATTCTCTACCAAGGTCCTAAAATTTGGAACTCTCTCCCTATTTCAGTCACTCGTTCGTCAAACTTTCTCAGTTTTAAGACGAAATGGCAAGAGTTTTTGCTTAAATAATCACTAAATTGGCCAAGCTGCACATTCGCAGCACTTTTTCTTTACCTGATTTATTATTGTAAGTGAGGTGGCTCTCCCATAAGCCCGGTGACTTCTTGGGTCTCCTCGCCTTCTAACCGTTATCGCCGTAATTAAATATTTTTATTGTTAAAATAAGGCAAATAATAGATGATGATGATGATGATGATGATGATGATGATGATGATGATGATGATGAAAGGAGAAGCTTTCTTACCCGCTTACTCTTACCATCTTGGTAAATGGGCTTTATCGCTATCTCTGTAATGGCGATCGATATTATCCTCTGGGTGTGAGGAAGATCTTCAGGGCGGAGGGGGAAGGGAAATGAAGGAAAGAGGTTTCCTCTTTCCTTTTCTTCTCCATCCCAGCAGAGAGATTGCTCGCCAGCCATTCTCGGGAGCCAAGCTCTTCCGGTTCTCATATGACGGCCCCGTTAATAAAATGAATTATGAAATCATAACCATCATCTTTTGCTTGCTAGAGCGTTTTTCGATTGAGTGGTGTAACTCCAAGTAATCACACTGGCCAATCAAATGAGAGAAAATTTTACAAGGGGCCAATGAGAACTTAAAATGAGCCAATCAGCTAATTAGAAATTAAAGTTAAGCAAGCCGCTGATTGGCTGATATGTGCCTCTTAAAATTTCAGTTATAGGGTCCTGGATCCTGAACGCGCCGCCCGGCGAGAACGTCACCACAGAATCATCCGGATGATGGTAGCCCACGTCATCGTGTTCGCCGTCTTTTTACTCCCTCATCAGATCATGTGGCTCATCTTGGATTTCGCAAATGGCGAAAAGAAACTTTACTTCCGAGACGTATTTAACATCGTGTACATCTTCACGTATGCAATAACGATCATAAATCCCATTTTGTTCTTCATCTACAACCCGGAATTCAAACGTCATTTGTTGCACTACCTCAAATGCCAGTGCCTCGTGAAAAGAGAGTTGTTTAGTGTGGAGAATTTGTCCGAGTCGTTTTCGGAAGAGTTCGACCCAAAGAGCCGACGTCCGAATGGGTACCGAGCGTCCATGCCGCCGAAATACGAGATGAATGAAGTGCCAAAGGAGAACAACTATGGATCGACGCCCACTATACACACAGATGGGGCAACTTTGCCTCGTTATGATTCTGGCCTTGGGTTGGTCGAGGCTGGATTGTTTCCGTCGGCAGTGGATCGACTACGTACCGCGGGGAAAAATAAGGAATCTACCCCGTCTACCTCTCCCCCGGGATCAGATGTGGTCAGTTACACGGACAGGAAAGATTCGGTCACTTACACGGACAGGAAAGACTCCCTTGACCGAGGGGGTGAGTGGCTGTAAGTTGACAACTGAATATTGTTACATATAAAGGGTAAAATATCAGCTTAAGGAGACAATATTAGAGATTTAAGAAAACCACGACGGCAACGGCAACGAGAACGTCGCTAAACAAAAGGTTTAATGAGCAGAACAATGGTTGTGCACGTGCGTAATGAATCTTCGTGAATTTCTTTGCGTTCTCTGCAAAACAACAACGTGAAATGACTAAACTTTGCGTTGTCTAGAAAACGTGATCTAGGACGGCTCATTTTTTATATTTCAATTTCTAATTGAACGCTGTGTACCTTAGTGTTGAGATAGTTTTGACAGTGAAAAACAAGCTACATGACTTAAGTGTATCGCGAGATTGATAGGTAAAATATGTTATTTTTTAACCGACGTTGTCCACGACGTCGCCGTCGTCATTTTCTTAAACTCCCGAATACAATGCGATAAACTTTCAAACTAGCACAAGGTGGCTTTGTACAAATAACCTGAACATTGAATATCTCGCTTTCGGAATTGCGTTTGTCGCCCGGGTTACATTTTTTAAAAATTCCTTATACCAAATCCAGGGATCTCTTTCAATGTGCATTTAGAAAACTTGGTGTTACAAACATACTTTATTGTTAATAATATTGACTATAGACCTTATTATGACTTCACAATGACTGCACTGATGTACCTATATAGATTTTGTGGGATAGAGTTCGTCAACTAAAATTGCTTTTAGGGGTTAAATAGAAACATTTTTAGGTAGATGTCACATAGCTCGGAAAAAGTTTCTTCAAATTAGGCTTTATTTATTACAAATCTTTAACAAATTAAAGCGTAATATACACAAGATATTTACGTGCGCATGCTTTGCACGAGCCATGCAGAGTTCTTCAAAACAGCTGAAAGTTGTAAGGGGCCGACCATTTCTCTTTTGAAGGGGGGGGGGGGGAGGAACTCCCATATGAAACAGACGGGGATGCTCGCCGGAAATTTTGAATTTAACCCCTAAAGGAGACCATCTGGGCGTTGCTCAAGCTTTTTGTGACCCCTAACGGAGACCAATCTGCGCGTGGCTTAAGCAAATTTTGACCCCTAAAAGAGACCGCTTAAAAACACAAATACGACATGAAATGAGTTTTAATGATATAAAGACATAATCATCGAACCCTTTCATTTAAAAGTAGTTTTTAAAAGCATTCTCATAAATCTCAAGTTCTTCATCATGTTCATGCATTTTCTCTTTGGCGCTTGGTATAAGTACATTAATAACGCTAATTTTGGGAGAAATTCATTAACCTTACGTAATAAAAGCCGGGGAATTAAAGTACCACGTGTGCCTCGTGACATCAGTGGCCTGAAGCCTGACGTCATCCCTGACCCACTTCATTGATAACAAGAAATGACTTACCTTTTGCAGTGGTTTGCAGGCCTTTCGTCGATCCGATCGCTTGTTGGCAGTGAAAGTTGTATTCCAGTAAATATTGTTTTGTAATTTTGTAAGTGCTAAATCCGCTGAGCCTTGATTTATGATTTATTGATTTATTCAGCTTCGCCAACCGGCAGGGACACCGCAACAGCTTGCGCCGATTACTGCGGGCCCAATAAACCCACCCATCCCACCCCAGGGGAGGACATCCATCGCACAGTAATCT